AAACATAAGGCATAGAACCAAAATGAGATTGTAGAATGGCTAAAGCATAAGTTGAATTGGATTCTAAATTTGTATTAAAAGGAGTGAGATCTAGAGGTTGAAAGGCAAGTTTGGGCCAGATGATGGAGGGCCTTAAATGCCGAGATGAAGGACTGAGTATGATAGGCAATGAGGACGTATTTCAGGGAGAGAAATGATAAATCCCAAGCAGACGTTTAGGAAGATGGATGTGCCAAGATACAGGACCATTAGAAATGGATGCAGGAAAAGTCGCCATACCCCCTGTGCCAATGTGATAGAACTTGAATTAGGGAGAAAAAAATGACAGTTCTGGAGGAGAAAGGGTGATGGAAGAGAGGACATGAAAGAATGTCTGACTGAACAGAAGGAAAGAAGATGGGGAAGAGTTTCTGAGAAGGAAGAAAAGAAAAAGTAGCCCAAAAGAGGCTTTTGAAAGTCATCAAAACGGCGTCTGTCATGGTTGATACAGTGGAACGGGGACAGGCTGAGTTTTGAAAATGTAGGTGTATCAGAACGGGGAAAATACTGACTGAAGCCCTGGAACTAGCGGCTCGGAAGTGGCATCGTTAACGGAACTTGTTCAAAAGCCTGGCTTGAGATATGGGGTCACTATGAGGACTGTGGAGAGTGGCACACATTCAAAATGTCTGCGGGCAGCCTTCAGCCTGGCACGGAGCCTGCCACATTTGTTTCTCCCTCGGCTGGTCCAGCGATTTGTTTGCTATACAATACTCATGCATTTCTTGTGTTATAAGAGGAAGTTTAAATTTCTAGCAGGCATTGACTTATCATTTTTCTGTATACGTTCCAATACACCCACATTTTACAAAATCCTTCCGGTTTTGCTGTCAACTATGAGTAACGTGCATAGAACCATTTAAAAGATCTGGCTCAAAGTGACAGATTGTCAGCCTAGTGAAAAGGAAAATGGCACTTTTGCCACAAATATAGGAAGGTCTGGAGTTTGGGGGAAGCCAGGATTAGTAGGTTTAAAACATATGTTATCCAGCCTGAGACATCGGGAGACCATGGGAATATCTATGCAGCAATGGGCAGTTGCTATTATGAGTGAGTTCCAACTCATAGCAACCCTGTGTACACCAGAATGAAACACTGCCTCTTCCTGCACCATCCTCACAACTGTTACCATGTTTGAGCCGACCGTTGCAGCCACTGTGTCAATCCATCTCCTTGAGGGACTTCCTCTTTTTTGCTGCCCCTCGGCTTTACCAAGAGTGATGTCCATTGCCAGGGACTAGTCTCTCCCGATAACATGTCCAAAGTGTGTAAGTCAAAGTCTCACCATCCTAGTTTCTAAGAAGCACTCTGCTTGCACCTCTTCCAAGACAGAGCTGTTGTTCTTTTGGCCTTCTATGGTGTGTTTAATATTCTTTGCCAGCATTATAAGTCAAATGCATCGATTCTTCCTCAGTCTTCTTTATTCAGTGCAACTTTCACATGCAGATGAGGCTGGGGTACAGTTCACCTTACTCCTCAAAATGACATTCTTGTTCTTCAATACTTTAAAAAGTTCTTCAGTAGATCTGCCAAATGCAATGCGACATTTGATCTCTAGATTCCTACTTCCATGAGCATTAAATGTTGTGTTAGTCAGTGTTGACTAGAGAAACAAATTCATAGATGCTCACATGGGTATAAAAAAGAGCTTTATATAAAAGAGCAATTGTATATTGAGAAAACATCCCAGCCCAGTCCAGATCAAGTCCATAAGTCTGATATTAGTCCATCCCTGAAAATAAGACAGTGTCTTATATTAATTTTTTCTCCCAAAGATGTGCTAGGCCTTATTTTCAGGGGATAGCTTATTTTTCCATGAAGAAGAATATGGTACACATTTATTGCTGAACAAAAAAAAGGATTTATTGCCTGTATATGGTATGGTAGTAGTTGTCATCACAAACCAGCATAACTAGACAAACTGTGAATCCTACAGTATCAAGAATTTCTTGTTATTATCATTATTTCCATGTACAACAATCTACAGTACATTTACTAATAATCTATGGTACATATACTCGCACTTCCTGTCTGCTCCAGCTGCGCTGCAGCCAACAGTGAGCTGTGCAGCAGCACCCACCACTACGGTCCAGAGTCCAGAGTTACAGTAGCTTCGGGAGGCTTTATGTTCAGAGAGGTCTTATTTTCGGGGGATGCCTTATATTTCAGCGAGAGGCAAAACTGTAAGTAGGTCTTATTTTGAGGGGATGTCTTACTTTCGTCAATAAATTCTTTAGATTCAAGTAGCCATGCAATGATGCTGAATGAAGGAAGATCACAGGCCAGTGGATCAGAAGCCTTGTGGATTCAGTGGCATAGTAGCATTTCAGCACCAGCAGGAGTCTCCACATGGCTTCTCCATCTCCAGAGCTCTGGCTCATCAATGTGTCTCCATGTGGCAGGAAGATGAAGCAGAGAGTGTGGGTCTGCCCTCCAGTGAGCTATTTATCTCCTTAATGCCTCCATATTAGGTCATCAAGCTGCAGCCTGATTGACAGGCTGAACTCCGCCCCTTCACTCTTAATAGTCTCAAATTGACACCAGATTATGTAACTACCACAAATGTGGATCGAAGGAAGATAAAATCCTTGACAATGTCAGTCTTTTTTTTTCTATTTATCCTAATATTGTCTACTGGTCCAGTTGTGAGGATTTTGATTTTCTTTACAGTGAGTTGTAATCCATATTGAAGGCTGCTATTCTTGATCTTCATCAGCAAGTTCTTCAAGTTCTCCTCATGTTCCACAAGCAAGGTGTGTCATCTGTATATGTCAGGGTAACATATCTTCCTCCAGTCCTGATGCCATACTCTGCTTTATGTAGTTCAGCTTCTCAAATTATTTGCTCAGTATCCAGATTAAATAAGTATGGTGAAATGATACAACCCTGATACACAACTTTCCTGGTTTTAAACCAGGCAGGTTTAAACCTTTGTTCTGTTTAAACAGTTGCTTCTTGATCCATGTACAGGTTCTGTATGAACACAATGAAGTTTTCCGGAATTCTGTGATGGTTAGATTTTATATGATCAACTTTATGGTAATTGTAGAGCAGTAGGAGAGCAGTTCGAAACCACCAGCCACTCCGTGGCATCAACTAAAATCGCAGTGCGTTTGCTTTTTTGGTTTAAGGAGGTAGGAATGTCATCCAAACTATCCATCAGGTCGGTCTGTTGATGCCTCCTTGGGGATGTGACCTTTTTTATAAAAGAGACACTGAGACTTTCTCTCTCTTATTCTTCTCTCTCCTGCTTGATCGGATCCTATATCTCTCCTTTGAAGCTGATGGTCCATGTAGCCTGCTAAGCCTGGGAGCTGTTGGTGCGCTGCCACATTCCTAGGGCCTTGGATTCAGGCGACTCTTCACCCACTAGCCTGTGCTCTCCCAGCTTCCTGCTGCATCTTCCTGCTTTCTCCACTGGCAGCCGTGTGAGTCTGAGCATCTCCAGCTACCATGTGACTCATGGGCTTAAGTTGGGCTGAGCTGGATCGCTTTCTTCATATAAAATTCTTTCTTATATCGGTATGAATGTCACTGGTTTTGTTTCTCTAGAAAACTCAGCAAAATAAAATTTCCATACTTCTCAATGTTATCTATAGGTGGTTATGATTCACATAGTCAGGTGCTTTTACATAATAAATAAAAAAACAAGTAAACCTTATTTTGAATTCCCTGCTTTGAGGCAAGATCCATCTGACCTCAGCAATGACAGCCTTTGTTTCACATACAGTTCTGAATAAGGGCTAAACCTCTGGCAGTGTCCTGTCAATGTAATGCTCCAACCATTGTTGAACGATCTTCCCCCAAACTATACTTGCATGTGATATTAAGACATTGTTTGATAATGTCTGCATTTTGTGGGTCACTTCTCTTCAAAACAGGTAATTATAGATCTCTTCCCAGTGGTTGGGCAGATACTTCTCTTCCAACATTCTTGGCATAGACTCATGAGCGCTTCATCAGCATGCTGAAACATTCCAACTAGTAGCACATCAATTCCTGGAGACTTGGTGTTTCGCTAATTCCTTCAGGGAAACTTGGACTTCTTTCTTCAGTACCGATGGATTTTCTATCTTTTGAAATGGTTGAGCGTATAGAATTGGCACCAGACAAGTCATCTGGCCTGGAGCCAAATCTTCAACCATCATTAGCTAGCAAGTGAGCTCTGAAAACATGGTAGTGGAAGAGATTTCTGGATAGAAAGTATTGAGCAAAGGGCTAAGCTCAGAACCTAGGAAAACACATTTCAGAATCAGAATAGTTAGAGGAAGAGCACGAATCTGAGGAGAGATCAGAAAGTATGAAAGAGAAAGTGTGGTTGTTATAAAAGCCACGGAATGAGTCAACCAACTGTTTCATGGTAATAACCCTAGTTTTATAGAAACAGTTACTTTGTGGTAAATTGGAAATACATATTTTATCCTTATTCAACTCACAGGGGCAAATTCTTAAGTTTAGAAGAAATTTACCCATAAAATGTGCTACTGGTTAAACAAAACTTGGTCCTTTTGTATGGAAGTACATTTGCTGCTGATCAATGAGAGACAAAAATCTCCCTGTCACATAAAGAAGTCAGGTCTTGATACTGCTTCTCTGGATGGCGGGGTCTGGACTGCTCTGGGGATTCCTTCCAGGCTCTCCTGAGGACAGGTGGAGTGAGACATGGACGGAAGTGGGGACAAGAACATTTTATATCACAACAATTAAAGACACACAGACGGATTGAAGGGCTGGGTCATTTAAAACAAAGGAGGATTTTGTGGTAGGGACTAAGAAAAATACATATAGAATATTTTTTTTCTCTCTGCTTTCTAGAAGAAGTGACAGGGTGGAAAACCACAAGGACCACAATATGAAGATGATCATATCAGAAAATTCAAGTTAGTAAACTCCATTCTCTTATCAAAAAATTGGCATGTTGTATTGTATGTTGTTTGCCTGCTTTAAAAAATATGGATGTCAGGGTGTGCTGAAACAGGGGGGCTAAAGAATGGTTCTTTTGTGTATAACACAGCCAACAGGGATCTCAATTCATTGTGATGGGGAGCACACAACTTGTGTCCTCTATGAACAAATGCCCTAAACGTATCTCGCCTGGAACTCCAAGTGGCTGGTAAGTAAGGATAACAGGAAGAAACTGAGTATTGTAGGAAACCCTGCAATAGTTAGCTGGGGAGGCTGCTACCTTGAACCTGTCGTCATGTGCATGTGGGCCATGAGCGATCCTAGCAATAAAGGCATTGCACCGCTCTTTAAAAAACAATAGATGTCACTTTCTTGTGTCCAACAAAACTAATGTATATTAGAAAGCATGGAAATACAAAAGGCACAAAGGAGAAGGATAGAGAGAGGCAGGAAGAAAGAAATGAATTAAGTCAGGTTAGGAAGAACAGCTTATAATCCCATAACCCAGAGATAACCCTGTTAAATTTGGTACATGCAATTCTACCCTGGAATTGGACAACTAGACTACTTCCAATATTTCACTATTTCTAATGATATTATGAAGAACATCCTTATACATTCATCTTTGAATAATGTGTGAACATTTTCTTAGCATAAATTCCTATAAGTGGAATTGTTAGGTGAAAGGATAGGCATATCTTTTTATATTCATTTGAGAAATATAATCAAATTCTCGGTTATTATTCAATATTTTTAATATTTGTATTTCACTAGACTACATAGCTAGGTTGTATTTTTCCCCAAATGTTACTGGCACTGGTATGTCTTCTTCTGTGAAATATATTGCTTGTCTATATATTTTTCCCATATTTGAGATGTTCCTGGAGAGAGACATGGCTGCTGGCTCAGGAGCTGCATTGCTGTCGACTAATGACTCTATCCTTACTGTTTGCTGATCCTAACTTGTAGTAACCTATTAACTCTCCTAGTAAACCCCCATCATTGTGAATCTTATCTGTGAGTTCTACGTGGCCATAGAAATGAATTATCAAACCCAGCATAGAAATAGAATGCCATGGGAGGAACAGTTGGTGTCAGGATAGGGACAGAAAAATGAAGAGTAGAGGCATGTCTGACTCCTGCACATAACAATAGGGAAGCCAGAAGAGTTCAGAAGTGTCCAACTCCATTGCTGTTTACCACAGGAACAACAAAAGATCTAGAACTGGAATTTGGGTGAGAAGAACAAAAGTTTATATTTGGGAGGCATCTACATGGAGAGGATAAATAAAGTCCCTAGACTACATTAGCACAATGTAAGAGGAGAACAGAGAAGCAGCCCCGAGCTCTCGCATGTGGCTGCACTAGTTCAAACCAAAAGACCAAACCCACTGCCATTGAGTCAATACTGACCCTATTATATGGCAAGGTAGAACTGCTCCTGTGAGTTTCTGAGACGGTCACTGTTTATGGGAGTAGAAAGTTTTGTCTTTCTCCCATAGAGCTGTTGGTGGTTTCTAACTGCCCATCTCGTGGATTGAAGCGCAACGCATAACCACTATGCCACCAGCGTTCCTGTTGTTATGTGCCGTCAAGTCCGTTCTAATTCATTGTGACCCTTTGTACAATGTAACAAAACACTGCTTGGCCCTGCAGCATCCTCACAACTGAAGAAGTCACGTTTGAACTTATTGTTGTAGCCGTTATGTCAATCTACTTCATTGAGGGTCTCTCCCTCTCTCATTGACCCTCCACTTAACGAAGCATGATGTTCTTCTCCAAAGACTGGTCTATCCTGAATGTCTAAAGTGTTTGAGACGGTCTCTAAATTCACATGGGATATACTCAAGATAATAGTTTGGCTCTTGAGAACTTTACTTTTTTTTCTTCACCTTCAACCCGAATTTGCATATAAGCAATTGATGGTCTATTCCACAGTCAGCTCTTGGCTGATGATATTGAGCTTCTCCATCATCTCTTCCAACAGATATAATCAGTTGGATTTGGTAAATTTGTATTGTATAGTCACAGTTCTTGTTTTGTTTTGTTTTATAAATAATTTTATTAGGGGCTCTTATAGATATTATAACAATTCATAAATCAATTATATGAAGCGAACTGGTACATATGTTTCCATCATCATTTTAAAAACATGTTCTTTCTACTTGAGCCCTTTGATATCAGCTCCTCTTTTTTTCCTCCCTTCCTGACCCTCTCATGCTCATGAACCCTTAATAAATTTTTTTCATATCTTATCCTGTATAGTATTTTTCATATCTTACACTGTATATATATATCTACTATATAGTCACAGTTCATATGGTTTTAAAAAGGCACTTGCAACGAAGAAATCACTGACCTTGAAAAATTCTATCATATTATTTTCAACTTTGTTTCTATTACCAAAGCCAGATTTTCTTTCCTCTTTGTTTCCAACATTCCCATTCCAATCATCTACAATTATTTAATGCATCTTGATGCATGTCTGACCAATTTGGGTTGAAGAAGTTTGTAAAAATTTTCAACTTCTTCATCATTGACTTTAGTTATTGGTATTTAAATTTGAATAGCAATATTAACTGGTCTTCTGTATGGGTGTATGGACCTTCATTTGCTGATGGGGCATGACTCAAAATAAGAAATAAGTGAATAAATCCACTAATAAGCTGAACATGAAATGTACAAGTATGAATCTAAGTATCAGAAGTCATCAAAAATGAAAATGCAATAGCTATACTGAGGGAGCAATAAAAAGGAAACTTGAGGGGGTGGGGAAACAATAATTGCATTAGAAAGGAAGAATAAGTGTCTTAACATGATTTGGAAGTCCTTGGGACAAGTTTGCTTCACAATAAAATCTTCCTGGGAGATTTTATTAGAAATTAATTGGCAATTTCCTGCATAAGAAGGTTGGAACAGAGGGTCAAGTGAGTTGCTCAAGGGACTGCCATGCACCAGCAATGTAGCTGTCCTCACATATGAAGTGTAACTTGGAACGCAGACATGAAGAAAAGAAAATACTGAAATTCTACGAGTTACATAAGAACTATACCATATTTAAAAACTGTTCAAAATACATGTTTAAATTTCAAAGTAATCATGACTATAAATCAAGTGGCCTTCCTCCTTTGGAAAAGCAGAAGAAAACAAACTATTGGCAGAAGGAAGAGTCCTCTGTGGACTGGGGCTATCTGAGGTGAACGGTTAACTCGGCAGAGTTGAAGAATGACAAGTGGCAACAGAGTTTACCAATGAGAAGTAAAACCACGAGAAACTCTCGAAAGAATTAGCAGAGTCACAGACTCGTAGGACTTTGTGGAAACTGTTTAGTAAACTAAAGGCAAAAGAGTCACAGGCGCTGACGTAGGAATTGTATATTCTGTTAGGTCACGACTAAAAATCCCACTGTTTGAGATTTTTCTTCTCATGGCTTCCATGAGGGCACGTTATCTGATTGTCTCCTTTCTCTCTTACTCAACCCAGTCTGTCTACTGATAGAGTACAAAAAAGGAGTTGGGGGTGTGGACAGAGTAGTCTTCCGTAGCAGGCAACTAAAAGAGGCAAATGGTTTAAGAAGCTCTAAGAGCTGGAGTTGAGATACAAAGCAAAGGAGGCTGCACAGTAAGGCAATCAGACAGCAGGGAAATAAGGAAAATTTCCTTCTGCTAGGAATTGACCCACCATCACTACTTCTCCCAGGCTAGTCCACCACTTGCTCTCTAACATGCCATCTTTACTGCTTCTTGATAATCTCCTCCCGGAATGCTTTTTCTGTCCAGTTTTCCTCTTCTACATCCTGCCTAATTTGGGAAAGCACCCTCCAATTGTCATCATGTTGCTTTCTGTGACACTGTCCCCACGTGGAGGCACAGCTGTCACTTACACATGCAGCCTCACATAACTTCATATTGTTATCTAATCTCTTTTTGCTTGTTTCCCCCAAATCAGAAACCAAACCAACTCACTGCCATCGAGTCAGTGCTGACTTACAAGGGGGTACACCAGGGGGAAAAAAACAGAAAAAAACTCTGCTGGGCAGAGCTTTTGCAGTATGCCTTTTTTCCCCCCAGTAGGCGAGCATAGAGCAACTCACTCTACTTTAGTGCACCTGGTGGCATCACCTTGAAAGGTTCTTTCTGATCACAGTGAATATTTTCATAAAAGCAGTTTCACTCGAACCTGCTTTTTTATAATGGCTGATTTAAGAGAACAGTATGCAGCTGTGAAATGTTGTGTCCTGCCGGGGGGAAATGCCACAGAAACTGCTATGATGTTGAACACAGCATACAAGGAGAGCACTATAGGAAAAACTCAAGTGTACAAATGGTTTTCTCATTTCAAAAAAGGTGAAATGTATTGATGACAAACCTCATTCTTAACATCCATCAGCTTCCAGAATGGATGAAAATATTGACTCTTAGTACATTTGGAGTTTGTTCCACTAGGTCAGACTATTAATCAAGCTTTCTATATAGATGTTCTGAAAAGATTGCATAACAGTGTAGGACAATAAAAAGGCCTGGGGACTGGTTTTGCCACCATGACAATGCACCTGCTCATGCAGCCATCTCAGTGTGCCAGTTTGGGGCAAAAAACAGCATGCCTCTCTTGCCCCACACACCTGACTCACTTTACCTTGCTCTTTGAGACATCTTTTTGTTTTTTGTGAATGCAAAGGGACATGAAAGGACAGTGATTTAATGACATACAAGAGGTGAAGAAAAAAATAAGAGAGGTCCTGTCAAGTCATCCAAAGAGATGAGTTTGAAAAATGTTCTAAGAATGGAATCACAGATTTGACCAAAGTATTAAATGTAGTAGAGAATACTTTGATGGTGATAAGGTTGTTTTTTCTATCAGACCTTGAACTATTTACAGGCTTTTCTCTCTTTTTTTGTCATTGATTTTGTGTTGTTTTGCTTTCATTTGCTGTGTTGTTTAGCTCTGTCTTGTTTTTGTGCACATTATTATCTCTGCAGAGCTATCTAGATTAGATAGGCAGGATAAACAATCTGGAGGAGAAAACAACGGGACTGACGGTGGAAGCGAGGGACAGGAAGTGGATGTTAACAAACCCAGGGACAAGGGAACAACAAGTGATCCAAAATCTATGGTGAGGAGGATGTAGGAGGCCTGGTGGGGCTTGATCAAGGGCAATATAACTGAGCAGAATTACTGAAAT